AGAGTCCAAAGAATATATGAGAGCTTTTCAGAGTCCTTATGCCTGAAAGTACCTCATTTCATAGCTTTCACTGCCAGGTTTTTCACTTTATCTGTTTGTCCTATTTTCCCATGCCCAGATGACAGTGGCTAATGCATTTGCCTTTTAATAATTGGACAAACACTACCCAAGGAGTAGCTGCCTCAACCCTGGGAGTATTCTGAGTTAATGAAATAAAGGCAAGCCCTTTGAATGTGTCCTTCAATAAGTCATAAGATACTTCAAAACAAAAAAAAAAATGCACTCCTTTTCAAATAAGGTTTGTTTTCCCTCTGGTACTACAGACGTGTATTGGGAATGTGGGCTGTTGTCTTCAAGGCCACCTTTTTGGTTTGTTTTTCTTGATTAACTGTTCACCTGATTGTAAACATTTTATTCATTTTCAGAGTTCTGGTAAAGTTCATTCTGGCTGTTTTTGCCAATTTATTTTCTGCTTTAGTAGAGTGATGGGATTTTGGATTTCTCTACTCTGCTGTTTTCACTGATGTAACTCAGGAAGGATTCCTTTTAAGATACAGAAACCACTAACCATAAAGGAAAATATTGATATATTTAGCTACATTAAAATTAAACATTTCGTTCATCAATAAACGTGATTAAGGTAAAAGACAAGCTACAGAGTAGGAATAGATACACTATATACAACTGACAAAAGACTGGTTATCCAGAATAAATACTGAAATCTAACAATTTAGTAGGAAAAGTACAAGGAAATTAGGGGAAAAAATGGGCAGAAGATTTGAACGGGGACTTCACAAGAGAGAAAACCTAAATGGCTGACAAATGTATGAAAAGGTGCTCACTGTCACTAAGAATCAGAGAAAGGGAAGATAAAACCACAATGCCATATTGTTACACACCCACCAAATGTTTTAAAATGAATAATGCCAACAGTGCTAGGTAGAATTAAGTTGCAGAATAAGAGAAACTGTTACTATTCTTTGGGGATAGATGTATAGATTGCTTACCCAACTTAGAAATTTTTAAAAGAAGGTATTCATACCCTATAACCAACAATTTTATTCCTGAATGTGTGTGTGTGTGTGTGTGTGTGTGTGTGTGTGTGTGTGTGTGTGTGT